TAAAAAGAAAGAAGGAAAGAAGAAAGGAAGGAATAAAAGAAGAAATGAAGGAAAGAAGAGAAACCAAGCCACAGACATTCAGTCTTGAAAGTGTAGCATGAACCCATCATTATAATTAATCCAATCCTGTGTGCTTGACCTCCAAGTAGGGAAAAAACCTGACTAGTCTCTCTTCTGCTTACCAACTTCTAGGGCTCCCCATCACAAGGACAAGGTACAGTCCAGTGTCTTTGGCATGATGTGAAAATTTTTCCACAGCCTGACTTTGCACCCTCATCTCCGGTCATTGCCTATGTGTTATAAGCTCCAGCTGCGAAAGTCTCTTTCCTGCTCGTGACACGCACTTGCAGACCACTCTGCCTGTGCTCTTGCTGTTTCCTCTGTTGTGTCCTCCCCCACTTCTCACCTCACAAAACCCTCTTTTCGCCCCAGCACATCAAGCAAGAAAGATCTCTCTCCCAGTTTCCATAGTTCTTTGTGCCCATCTCTTCAATAAATGCTTAATATACCACAAAATCAACAGCAAACGGTTTAGTAGGAAAATTGGGGGCAGAAAGAAGCCAGATCAAAGCAGATTTCAGGAGTGGGTAGGAGTCGAGATATGAATACATGGATCATGACTACCTTCTGAGGATTGGTTTTATTGTAATTTGGTTTTGTTTGTTTTGTTTTGTCTTTAGCATTTGTGGTTTTACCCGGCAGAGATTGAGTGTAGTGAGAAGAAAATTCCTGGGGTGGCTGTGGTGCTGTCCAACGCTTGGGTGCTGACAGATCTGTGTCACTGTGTAGGGGCTGTCTTGAGATCAGCAATTCTTCTGGCCCCGGGACCTGTGGTCCTCAATTTTGGGAGGAAGTGAGAGAGGAAAATGACTGCATGCCTTGTTTGTTATCTCTTGGAGCTTCTGGAGCCATAGCCTGCTTCGTCTGTGGGGAAAGGAATAAAGTTCGCTCACTTGGTTGGCACCTCCTCTGTTTCTTATGAGATCCACAGGCTCCTGAAGACCAGTTAATGATTAGAAAAAGCGATTGATTATTAGTTTTTCTATCATCCACTTAATGGACATTAAAGCCTAACTATGTGCCAGATAACCAAAACAGGGTTCCCGCCCTCAAGGAGTCCAGTCTAACCAGGAAGACCAACCTTGAGCCCATGCCAGCAGTTACTGTGGGAGAGCTGTCTTGGTCAGCTTGGGTTGCCATGACAAGATGCCTTAGACTGGAGGGCTTAAACAACTGGAATTTATTTTCTCACAGTTCTGGAGACTGGAAGTCCCAGATCAAGGTCCAGCAGGGTTCAGTTTTGGGTGAGGACGCTTCCTGGCTTGCAGATGGCCACTTTCTTTCTGTGTCCACACATGACCTTTCCTCTGAGCAGGTGGGGTTGCGGGGTAAAGAGAGAGAGAGAAGAGACTCCATGGTGGACACTGATCCTTATCAGTTGAGCGCCCCACCCTTATGACCTCATTTTACCTTAATTACACCACACTGGGTACACTCCTGAAGGCCCTGTTTCCAAATACGGTCACACTGAGGGTTAGGGCTTCAACGTATGAAGTTTGGGGGCAGAGTTCAGTCCATAGGAGGAACTTGAAGAAAACTGTAGCGACACAGGTGAGGGTGTGCTCATCTTGTCTGGGGAAAGATGGGGCAGCAGGAGGCTCAGCAATGACTCTTGGTCTGGATTTTGAGCGTGTGGGTCGTTTGCTATGTAATCTGTGTCCAGCTCCAACTTGGGGGCTCTGGTGACCCAGCAGTGCCCAGCAGCCAACAAGAGATGATTGTCCTATGTGAAAAGGGGAGGTCTCTACGTCACAGCTTCCTGTCAGCCACAGTTTTATTCAGTGATATGTCCTTATGCCTCTGATATCATTTTTACATTTGTTAGCAGCTTTTCTTGATGGTAGGGTATGCCATAGGTTTCTGATGTCATTCAGGTCTCACTGCCACAGCCTTTATATGCCTCTTGTAAAGGTGATTATTTCGAAGATTCATTACCTGTCAAATTCAGAAGAGAATAGTTACTGTACTTGACGTGGCTCAGGAAATAAGCATACATGTTCCTCTGCAGCAGTGGGGTGTGTAGAATGAGTCGTGGGCTTGCCCAAAAGGCGCATCTCTACCTCTATGGTTTCTGTCTTGCAGATAGCCCTGGTGGACAGCAGGCTCTGTGAGCAATGAGTGCTGTCCTGTCATGGATAGTATTGTGTTGAGGGTCCCTCCCTGTGGACTGTGTATTCTCAGAAGGAGGAAATGTCCCAGAGGCTTTGGGAAATGAACCACCTCTTGCTTTATACTTCTGTCGCATTTGGTTTGCATTCCTTCTCTGGCATCTGGCCTTTTGGGCCCTGATCAAGGCTTTTCAGGGCCAGATGATGAGATTCTTCAAAGTAGGGAGTGAGTCACATTCATCTCTTTTCTAACCTCACTTGTCCTCCCATGATGACTGCAGTGTCCCAGGAGGGACCATTTTGGCGTGAACTAGTATGAGTGTGGTGTAGTGAAAATAAGAGTGTCCTTCTGCTGACACTCGTCTTCCCAGTGGAGTTCCATCTCTGCAGCACACTGCCTGAGTCCCTGGCTCTTTTCCTGGCCTTGGTGTGAGCCACATAGTGGTCAAAGTGGAGTCCCAGCCCACACCCTCAGGAAAGTGGGGGCGAGGCCTTGGGCAGGGGGGATGCTCAGGGGGTTTGCACTGACAGAGTAGAGTTATTTTCCCATCTCCAGGACCAACAATTCTGGCTTTAGAAATGAGGAAAAAGTGGTGATATTGTCTTGGGTCAAAATGAAAACCCTCTTCCTTTCTATGATCGCTCCACTTGGCAAGTTGGTTTTCTGTTTCCTCAACAAGTGGTCCGAGGAGACACCTATGATGTTTAGTGCTGTGGACAGCACTTGAAGCTGCTTTGCTCCCTGTTTGCTCCCTTCCCCCTTCCCTGCAGAGACTCTGTTCAGAGGAGGATTTGTGAGATAAACTATGGGTTTACAAACGTCGAGAACAGCTGCTCAGCCAGCCCCTTGTCTCCTGCGCTGCTGCAGTCACTGTGCTGGAACTCTCTGCCAAGGAGGGTGGAGTGTCTGCGTCTCCTCTGTGAGCTCCCACAAAGTGAGCATTTCCCTAACTGGTATGATAAAGGCAGTTCGTTACAGATTTTGACTGTTGCTGCATCCTACCTCCCTTAGAACCAGCACATTCATCTCTTCTCTGTGCATGACTGCTGAGAGAATGCAAACTTGGTTTCTCTGTCATCTGAGCATCTTTCAAAAGCATTCCGCCCATCTGTGAATTATTCCCTGACTCTTCAATGAGGGCAGTGTTACAGGTCCTCTGCCGGCAGGAGGGAGCAGTCCAACAAAATCTGAAGACCTGAGACTTTCAGAAGCTGTGACGATCAGACTAGGAAGACACAAAACATTGCGAGCTGGAAGGATGTCTTAATAAGCTTTTAGATGTGATTTGGCCAGTGTTGGCAGAGGAAGCTCAAGGGAAAAAGGCAGGAAGCATTGTAACGTAAATCACTGCAGACCCACTGGGCATGACAGCCCTAGGAAGCTAATGATCTCTCCAGGGAAGAATTGACTGCAACAGAACACGATGTGTAGAACGGGGAGGACAGACCCCCGGATGTGAGTACAGTCTCTCTTCAACACAGGGTTTGGAGCAGTAGGAGCAAAGCTAATTGTTGTAACTGAAGGTGCTCCCTAACCACCAGTCCTGGGTGCCTGTGGACCATCTCTGGGTGGGTTGTGCATAATGCCTGGCTGGGACTTTTGTTTGCATGTCTCTTCCAGAATATTTTACCTATTTTGAGACTGAATGCAGTGGCTTTGGGATATTGGTATCAGGAGACTTTGTTGTAAAGCCTCAAGAAATCAGCAAAAGCAAACCTCTTAGACCTTTTTCTATAAAAAGAAAACCGATCGCATCACAGACCAAGCAGCTGTGTGGCCCTCTGGCATCAGTGATGAGAGACAAAAGCGTTGGCAAATTGGAGCGCAATGGAAATGGGGCAGTGGGCTGGGCGGAAGCCGAGAAATCTTTCTCAGGAAGGTAAATCCCTTTCTGGATGCTCACTGCATATTTATGATCATGCATTTATTTCATTTCTGCTTAAAGAACTGGCAGTGTGTTTGCATTTAAGGTTTTTCTCCAGATTGTTGTGAAAGTGAGCATCGTGACAAAGAGTGATGTGATTAATAGACTTAGGGCAGAAGAAATTCCTCTCCGCCAGCCATGGGAAGTGTCTTGAATGGCAGCTGAGCTACTTGGAAGAGAAGGCTCAGATTTAATGAAGGAATGGGGCTGCTAAACTTGGGTAGCCAACAGGTTGGCAGTGCAGTTTAACTCGTGGATTGTAGACTTTCCCCTCCCATTCTATTCCTCTCCCCTCCCCACTCATTGTTGGGGGTCCTCTATGCCTCTTTATCGTAAACCTCTCCTCTAGCCTACCTCCACCTGGCCTGATTTGTCAGCTCAGAGGTGTTAGATGAGAAGCTGAGTATCCCTCACTCCAGAAGGATGGGGATTGTTGTTGTAGGTGGGAGGTAAGGATACCAAGGATTTAGGGGAGTCATCATGAGGAAGGTGGAGAGGAAGCTGAGCTGGGCCTGCACCCCCACCCAAGGCTGGAGGTGCAGAAAGGAAGCAGAACAGGAGGCTCAGCCACTTTGATTTCTTCCCACCCACCCTGTGTGTAAATGCAACGGGAAGTCCTAGCAACGAGGCTGTTACTGGATTTAAATTGAGAATGAACTTGAGAGACCCCAGAACAAAAGAGATGGCGCTAGCAGCAGACTAGGAACTGGTAACCTGGGATTCTGTTCCTGATTTTGCAGGCAGTTTTCTGTGCCACGCAGGTAGGGGGAGTATCCAGAATCCCAGGGGCAACCTATCCTGGAAGCGGCCCCATGCCTCTGGTGGGCTGTGTGCTAGCCGTGGTTGCGGGGGTGGGGTGGGATGGGGAGTGGAGAGCATTTCATTCTTATGTAGCTGTAAATGAAAAGCAAAAACAAAACAGGACAAAAACAAAAACAACATTTCTGCTTGGCCAACATTTTCTCACAACTGTACAGTTTTTCTGTCTTTAAAAAAACAAGGAATAGTAATGTGCTGGACTTGTAAAGGGCTGTTTACCAAAGGTAATTATGTAAACGAGGCTATCTCAGTAGCTTGAAGCCATGGCAATAAGTGGCTTTCCTCTGGGTGTCTGAGAGGCTGCATTTATTGCGTGGGACAGGAGGGAGGGAGGGGAGGGGCTGTCAGTTACTACAGGCTGGCAGACCGTGCATCTGTTGCTAGGGAGACCAGACAGCACTGCTGGTCTGGAGCTCGTGACCTCAGCTGATGGGCTGCGCTGAGGTTGCAGCAAGGAGATTTCTGTCCCCAGGAGCTAAGCTGTGGAGTGAAATGAGTGAAATTTTAGCCATAATAATATTTGTATGAACTGGGCCATTGTACTTGAAACAGTCAAATGCCCGTTGCAGGAAAGCTTGGGCATGGGAGGGTGGCAGGTTCGGTGCACAGAGTGCACAGAGGTAACAAATGAGTAAATGAAGAGAAGAATGTGGTTGTGGGAGGGAGAGCGTTCAGGAAGCGGTGGCCAATAGTCTGTATTTCCTGCCATCTGAGTCTGGAGTGCTTTTGCAGAACGGGGCAAATAGAGCAGAAGCTCAGTTTGTTGGTTTGGAGGTACTATGATTACCTGAATAAAGAGAGACAAGGTGTCCTCTGTTTACAAAAACAAACCACTTCCAAACTGTGGAACAGTCTGGAAAACAGAGCCCAAATTAGACTTTCACTGTGACCCTGGGAATTTCCAAAGGCGTTTCCGACTCTGTCTCTCTTTTTTGTTTCAACTTCATTTTTTCATTGGCTCATTCATTCAGCAAAGATTTCTGGTGCATCCCGTAGATCTCTGACCGCGGCTAACGGAGGAGTGCTCGGCTTTGCAACAGCATCCCTTCTCCAGGTTTGTTGTGCTTCTGATGAGCCTGGTAATCAGAGCAGGATGAGTTTGTGAGGGTTCCTTCTCTCTTCCCCTGCTATTCTTTACCCACATTTTGGGCAAGAGATGGACAACAGTGTGAGAATTTGATAATTCACAATTTGTGGGGAATAAGAATTATCTTTCTGAAGTTATAATATTCACATTTGGCCAATAGTTTCACAGAATAAAATACCATCTTTAATCCTCACCACAGTCCTATTGTTTTACGTCTGAGCATTTAACCCTAGCCTCCCAGAGCAGGTGGTGAAATGGCCTGCCTGGAAGTCATGGTGAATGAGAGTTAAGAGTGGGGTCCAGTCCAGACCTGTCCCAGTCATATCATGGCCAATTCCTTAATCTTTGGAGATTGAAAGGAGCATTGGGTTTGCCTGGAAGCAACTGAAAAACACATATCTTTCGGGCCTTCAGAATTAGAATATGTGGTAGGGTCAGAGATGAAGAATAGGGTTCCTTTGGCACAGCGTTTTCTTTCCATTTGCATGTATTGGTATTTTTAGTAAGTGCGTTTAAAAAGCAGAGAAGCCCTCACTTCCTTTTGGCCTGGCAGGAGTGGATTAGATCCTTGAGCATTCCTCCTTCTGCCCAAAGAACCCTTCACCTTTGACATAATTACCAGTGGCTTTAGTTGCTCTAATGGTGGCCCAGGAAGGAGTCAGTCTTTAAAATTCTGTTCATTTGGCCATTTGGTGGAAAGGAGAGCTTAAGTTTACTACTAGTTACTATCTCAGACCACTGCTCTGAGTCGGGGCTTAGTGTCCCTGTAGGTGGTTTTAATAGGCCATTTATTTCCCTCCTGTTAAGCAAGAAAGCCACGGGACTAGCCCCTCCTAGTACAGTTGGCAGTGCACACTGTCAGTGTTTCTCTAGCATCCATCTTGTTCCAAGGTGGGTTGTTCCAGGAGTAATTGAAACCAGGAAGTGGCTCAGGCCTGCACCGAGCTCTCCATCTGTTCCAGACTCAGAAAACTGCACTGTTTACAGTGAGAAAAGGATGAAGGAAGAAAACTGAAGTAAATGCTGGGAGAAAACCCCAAGGGTTTAACCCACTCCTCTGGGTCTCTGTGGGGTGTGCTCCATGGGCTCCTAACCCGCCAGGGGAATTGGCATGTTAGCTGTGGTGGGCCCACAAAACATGATCCAGTAGGCGCTTTGTGATTGTACACAGTAGTTACCTGCTGAAGGCGGGTCTGGAAACCAGGTGATATTTACGGGATTAGCTATATCAGGCCTCTGCTACTCAGATCGGAAATGCAGCGCAGACCTCGTAGTTCTGGCTCCGTCCTCTGGAGAATGACCGTGAGGGGAAGAAAGAAGGGAGGTTGGCACATTCTGCTGCTTTCCACTGGGCTTTCAGGGGCTTTGCTGTGCAGAGTGTGCTTCCCGCTCGTCCTGTCTCCCCCAGCGCCCCTCCCCTGCAATGAGCAATCAGCAGAATGCCCTAAAACCAGAGAGAAGAGGTGGGGACTGTCCTGTGTGCTGAGTGGTGCTGATGGCAGCTTTGTTTTGCACTCCCTAGGTCCCGAAGATGGCTTGGTAACAAAGGCACCTTCCAATGATCGGGAGCATCTTTCCCCGGGGGTGCCTGCCCGGGCCAGTGGCGTCTTGTTGAGCTGAAGGAATTTGTCTACTGCTTTCCCGAAAACCTCTCTCTCTCCTAATTCATGAGCCAGCAGGATGCGGTTGCCGCGCTTTCAGAACGCCTTCTCATAGCCGCGTACAAAGGCCAAGTGGAGAATGTGGTTCAGCTCATCAACAAGGGCGCCAAGGTAGCGGTTACCAAGGTAACAAGAGGCAAAAACACTCTAGCCGTTCCCTGGGAAAAAGCCTAACTCTTAACCATTGTCCACAGAACTGTTGTGTTTGGTTCGCAGCTTTCAAAGAACTGGCTTTTTTTCTATTGATAGAAGTTTGGGGAGAAGGAAGGAGGATTCAAAATGCTTTCCTTGCTGTCTTTCAAATAGAGTAATTTGTAATTAGCATTGGACAGTCTTTAAAAACCACGTTGTGCCCTTTTTCATCTACTTCTTTAGCCAGATGGACAAGAGATCTCTCTGGAGATGATGGGGCACAAAAACTTGTTGGGTAGAGTGTTGTGTGATAATCACATTACACAGGCCTCCGGGGGAGGCAGACCAGCTTGTGGATGGGGCAGCCCCTCCGCTGTGCAGAACCTCATTGTCTCCATCTGTACAGTGATGGACTTGGACCAGATGACTGCCAGGACCTCTTTGGGCTTTGATTTTCTCTGGGTCAGTGAAGGTGTGTGGTAAGGACTTTGCTTACCCGTCACCAACAGGTAACACCATGGTAGACGAGAGAATTTGCTGGCCAAAGGGCGGTTATGTGGCAAAGCCGAGGAAAGGCAGGCTCTGCACAGTTCGGTGACAAGTTTAAATACAGAGACGAAATAATGCTGATGACAAACACTTTTGAGCACTTAGTATTGCTCTAAGTGCCTCACAGGCCTCTAGAAGAGGTTCTCTTTTCATCCCCAGTTTAGAGACAAGAAACTGAGGCACAGAGAGATTTAAGTAACTTGCCTCACTAAAGTCCCTTAGTTGCTGAGTGGCAGAACTGCAACTGGTACTCAGGGGGTCTAGCTCCAAAGCCCACCCTCCCAGCCACCCCAGAGAGAGGCAGTTTAATTTTCAAATAGGTAACATCTGTTTACCTCTGACCTCCTAAGGCAAAGATTGGCCAGCTCCCATTTCACTTGCTCGTATGGAGTCTCTATATGTCATGCTTCTGATGTATCGTCCTTTTTCCAGCACCACCCGGCAGTTAACTCGATCCTGACACTGTCTTCACAGGTTAAGGGCTCAGTCCCACAAGACTGCCCTCCGCTCCTCCTTCAGACCCCAAACGCCAATCCAGTTGTCACCTGTGCTTCTGACCAACTGACTATAAATCGGAGATTCTCACGACCCGCTTCTTGGGCTTGATTAATTTGCTAGAGCAGCTCACAGAACTCAGGAAAACATTTTACTTACTAGATTACTGGTTTATTATAAAAGTATGTAACTCGGGAACAGCCAGAAGGAAGAGATACATAGGGCAAGGTATGGGGGAAGGGGCACAGAGCTGGGAGGTGCCAGCCTCCCAGCACCTCCGTGTGGTCACCAACCCAGAGTTCTCTAAACCCTGTCCTGTGGGTTTTTATGGAAGCTTACTTACAAGGACTTGATTGACCAAATCATTGACCATTGATGATTGATTCAACCTTCAGCCTCTCTCCCCTCCCTGGAGGTCAGGGGAGTAGACTGAAAATTCCAACCCTCTAATCATGGTTGGTTTCCCTGGCAACAGCCCCCATCCTTAGTGGCTTTCCAAAAGTTACCTCATTAACATAAACTCAGGTGTGGTTGGAAGGGGTTTGTTATGAATACTCCTTTTGCCTTTATGGCTCTGCTGCTACTTCAGGAAGTGATGACAAAAGCCCAACTATTATAACAAAAGGTGCTCCCATTGCTTTTATCACTTAGTAAATTCCAAGGGTTTTGGGAGCTGTAAGCCAGGAATGGAGACTTAAGAGCAAATATGTGTTTCTTCTTATAAAGCGCAATATCACAGTGCTGGTCTCTAGAGAGACAGAAAATCTTGGGCTACTCAGAGGTCATCCACTGACCTAAGAGCACTCTACACATCCGTGGTGAGCAGGTTGTACGGAAGCTGGGGTTAAAGGAGCTTGAATTCAGGCCTCCTGTGATCTACCCACAGCTCTTCACAGATGGGAGAAGGTGTGTGAACTCTAGTTAGGGCGCTTGCTCACTCTTCTTAACTCTGCTGTTTCCTAATTGTGCAAGTTGCTTACCTTCGTTGTGCCTCAGTTTCCTTATCTGTCAAAGGGGGGTAATAACACCAACCTTTCTTGATTGTTATAATAATAACTTATTAAAGCAATTAGCTTATAGTCTGCAAGTTCTCTTTTGTAAACAGACTTCATCATTTGCTTTTTTGAAAACAGCTTTATTGAGGTATAACTTACATGCCAAGAAATTCAGCTATTTTAAGTGTTCAATTCCATGATTTTTAATGTATTTACAGAGTTGTGCAACCATCACCATGTTCTAATTTTAGAACATTTCCATTGCCCCGGTAAGAAACATCATATTTGTTAGCTGTCATTCCCCATTCCCACCCCCAGTTCCTGGCAACCATTAATCTACTTTCTGTCTCTATCTATTTCTCCTCTCTGGACATTTCATATAAATGGAATCATACGTTATGTGGTCTTTTGTGCCTGGCTTTTTTGCGTAGCCTAATCTTGTCAAGCTTCCTCTCTGTTGTAGCACGCATCCATACTTCCTTCTCTTTTATTGCGGAATAGTATCCCACTGTATGGATAGACCACATTTTGTTTATCCAGTCATCACTTGATGGATATTTTGGGTTGTTTCCATTTGGAACCATCATGAATAATGCTGCTGTAAACATTTGTATACAGTTTTTGTGTGGACATACGTTTTCATTTCTCTCGGGTAGATACCTAGGAGTGGAATTGCTGGGTCACACAGTAAATCCATGTTTAATATTTTAAGGAACTGCCAAGGTTTTGTTTACATCATTTGCTTTTGGTTAGTCATGTTTATCAAAGTGATGCATGCATGTAGGAGCTTTAAAAGTGTAGGTTCAAATACTGCTAGAGGGATTTTTTTTTTTTTTAGATTGGCACTTGAGCTAACAACTGTTGTCAATCTGCTTTATTTTTCCTGCCTTTTCTCCCCAAATCCCCCCAGTACATAGTTGTATATTTTAGTTGTGGATCCTTCTAGTTGTGACATGTGGAACGCCGCCTCAGCATGACCTGACAAGCAGTGCCATGTCCATGCCCAGGATCCGAACCTGCGAAGCCCTGGGCTGCCAAACTTAACCACTCGGCCACGGGGCCGGCCCCTGCTAGAAGGATTTTAACAAAAGCAGCTGCCCCCTGGACCACCCCCAATTTGCTCCCCTGGAGAAAATACTCATTTATCTCCATATTTCTAATGAGTATGCATATACTACTAATCTGATTAATCAGTTTAGTTTTTAATTTAAAAACAATGTAGATATTATTTTAATTTTTGTGTTGCATATACACGTAAGTTAAAGCATCAGTATTTTTACTGTTTGCTTTCCATTTCTGATTCTCCACAGGCAGCTACTTTCAACTCTGTTGGTATATTCTTTTAGTGTTTACATCCTTAAAAGACATCTTGATATTGCTAAATCTTGATTTTTCCATGGTATGCATTATCTGTTGACTTAACTATGTGAAAACTGATGATTTAAGATTTGCATTCTTTCTGTCTCCTGCTCTCTCACACGTGCATTTCTACCTCCTGCAGTCCAGTTATGTCGTAACTTGGATGACATCAGATTCACTCTTTCCATATTTTAACCAATTTATGCCATTCCTAGCTGAGCCGTGTAGTATGTACTATCATTATGTTTCCTTTTTTGTAATAATTTGTTTACCCTGGTTTAATAATTGTCTTGTGTTTGTTTCTTTGGTTTTGTCTCTACCTATCACCAATCATCCCCAGCTGTGTAGTCTTCCTGGCTGGTCAGAATGTTATGTAGTCTCTCCATTGATTCCCCTTGAAGAGGTACCCTGGAGCCCCGCCCCTGCTTCAGTCTGGACTGGTGGCTCTCAGAGCCTTATGACAGCTCTCTGGGGGTCTCTCATTACTCGTCCTAGAGATTCCTCTTACCACTTTAATATATGTTGATTTTTCATTTTCTAGACCCAGTGTCTTTCTCTTTCTTGGTTCACTCCCTTGTTTTGATGTTGTACACTTTCTAGTACAGCACTGTCCAACAGAACTTTCTGTGATGGTGAAATGTTCTGTATCCATGCTAACAGGGTAGCAGCACATGGCAATTGAGTACTTGAAATGTGGCTAATGAGACTGAGAAACTGAATTTTAAATTTAATTTTAATTAAAATTTAAATGCCTCATGTAGTTGTTGGCTAGCATATTAGATAGCACAGCTCAGATGTCTTCCTGAGAATAAGTGCATGGGAGAGATTGATCAATTTTAGACATAATCTATTGCTCCTCTCTCTCCCCCACATTCTCCCAATCTAGTTATGGCACAACTTTTGAGCAGATCCGTAATTAGTGTGATTATGTAAATGCTGTTCATTGGTGAGCCAAGAATTGTACTTTAATTACATTTCCATTTTTTTGTATAACTTGCTCTTTTTCCTAGAGTTGATAATTGCCTTGATTTTTCATTTCTTTAGTTTGATTCAAACTTACTGTTGAATGTTTCCTCTACCCTTCAACCACTGTGTAAAACAGTTCTTAGCACAGTTTTCCATAATTAAACCTATTGTGTATTTATCAGTTTTCTTCTTTTCCTGGAGATATCCCTTCTGGAATCATCCATCCTTTGGTTTCAGTTTTTTTTGGTGGGGAAGATTGGTCCTGAGCTGACATCTGTTGCCAATCTTCCTGTTTTTGCTTGAGGAAGATTGTCGCTGAGCTAACGTCTGTGCCAGTCTTCCTCTATTCTGTATGTAGGATGCCGCCACAGCATGGCTTAATGAGTGATGTAGGTCCACGCCCAGGATCCGAGCCTGTGAACCCCAGACCCCAAAGCAGAGCCTGCGAACTTAACCACTATGCCGCCGGCCCAGCCCCAGTTTCAGTTTTATCTGGGTTGCTGTCTAGTTCTGCTATGTGGAGTCATCCTGAGAATTCCTGTCACCTCTGCCCCATGTTAGATCCTCTCTTTGCCTGACCCATGCCACCCTCACTTTGGTGGTACATGGTCTCTGGTAGCTTCCTAAGAA